ATAGGTTAAGTCCGGCTCCCGAATAAAGCTTGATTTTCATGCATCCGTTGTCCGACGATCCGATGATATGATAGTAATTTTATTGTTTTTTAAAGGCTTCGATTGGTTAACCGTTTCTAACCAATCGAAGTCTCTAAATTCAACCAATAAAATTAATATAGTATCATCGTGTCGTCGGATAACGGATGCATGAACAAATAATTGTTATTAAAACAAATATTTTTGTTATTGTGTAGTTCCATTGTTAGAAGTAGTGAGCTAGTATGTGTGTAATTTGGTTATGATTAATCATTTATTTAAAAAATTCGCAGATTTTGCAACATGCGCAACCATCATAGGCGTATTGAAAATACCAGACACAAAAGTCGGCGGTGGTCTGCAATCACCTGTTTTTTACATTTTATATTAACTTGTGACGTCATTTGGAAGAGCTCAATAGAAATATAAAAGAACTAGCTGTTTGGAAAGCAATTTGACATTCGTGACGTCAGCACTCCGGCAGTCTACGTATCACTAATTGCCATTCGCAAATATATTCCAGATACGTATAGTGAACAAGTGAACCGTTCGCAACGTTAAATAATTTTGATATTTGATTTTTATCGTGATGGCTTTTTATAAAAGTGAAGAATTTAGTAAGAAAAATATTAATGATGGAGATGAACGTGTACGGATTCATGAATGGTCACGATCACGGTCACCACACTATAGAAATGTGAGGTATGTATGTATATATACTCGTATATATAGAATTAATGGCATTAATTTGCAATAGCACCTCGAACCCACAGTTTCATTATGGAGCCACATTAAACCAATCAGAGTGAGTATTATGTTACCGTAAAAGCCCGAATATTGGTTAAACGTAGGGTTACCCACGTAGGAGCCCGAAATATGCAAAAAATGTCACTTTAGGTTAAGTTTAGATTAGACCTATATTTTTATTAATGCAAAACCAACTAAAACCTAATTCTAATTTAACCTAAACTCACTCCCTCTTTTGCATATTTCGGGCTATTACCTGGGTATTTCTAGGTTTAATCAATATTCGAACTTACGGTGTAAATTTATGGACAGTCCATAAATTTAAATTCGCCGTACAAAAAATAAGTAATAGTTACTGTAGATAAAAATAAATTAAAATATAGTTCCACGATAACTTAGTTTGCAGCTTCTTTTCATCATACCTAGTAAAAACCCGTCACAACCACTACTCATAGTATTTTTAAACGTATTTTAACATGTATTTTTAAACATCATTATGAGATTTAAATCATAGGTGCCCATAATATGAGTAGCGGTATCGACGGTTTTTTGTTATGATGAAAATGTTGTGTGATATGAAAAAGCAACAAAATATATTATCGATTGCAGCAACTATACCTAATACCTAGTTTACATTCAGTATGTCCATTTAATATAGAACATATGCATGCATGCATGATTTTTAGCTATGCATGATTTTAAAAATTTGCTACCATTATATTTTGATAGTTGAGTTTTTTTTGAGAAATTATTTGTTAGCTTCTTAAACAAAACAGACTCATAATAATTCAAATCTTTATCATCCAAGACTTCCAAGAATTATAAAGTAATCTCACGTCAAAATTTTTTAAAATTATTGCATGCCTTAAATGTTTGCAAAGTTAACAAAAATATGTCTTTGATTACCTGCAATTAATATATTTGGTCCAATTTATCAGTTCTGCATCATATCCGAAATTCAGATTGTGTGTGACACAACGAAGAGTCAACGTGCAACGTGAACGATAAGAAAATGGCAAGTAAAAAAATTTGTAAAGTCTTAATTACTAATTACACTAATCACACGTTCTCTTGAGTTCTCCTGCCTAAAATCTATATTGCCTTCCCTAAGATTTTAAATATAAATGTTTGAAACTCATACAAGTTTACCACAATTTTATTGTGAAATCATACGGGCTATAATCATTAATATGACTATATTAACAATACTTAAATCAAAATTTATTTGAAGGAATGCTACTGTATTACAATAATTGTAAAACAAGTATGTAATAATAACTCGGAATAATTATTAAAAACTGCTCATCTTGTTATAGATGTCCGCGTCTTGTCTCTATTATTTTATTAGCCGTTTAGCTATAGTTTGATTTCAGATAATGCAGAGTTTAATGTGCCATTTGTGTTTTTTATAGGAATTATTATTTTTAGCATATTTGGTATACTCTATGAAGTTATTTTTAAGTGCTCCTGTCCATTTTTCAATTATTAAAGTGCCTTTAGATACAATTAAAATTAATTAATTGGTGTATAGTATTTGTATTATGGGTTTGTTTATTTTTTATGAAATTAATTTTTTTCCTATTAAAATAAACATAGCTTACTAAATCACTAGCTAGCCATTTTTAAATACAGGATGTTAATTAAGTATCTGGCTAAACTTCAGGAGGCGATTCTTTGAGTGTTTTTAAGGTAAAAAGTTCATATAAACATGTGTCCGGAAATGTATAATTTTAAAGATACAGGGGTGTCAAGGTGTTTTCTAATAGACCTTTTTTATTAATATCCCAAACATCCGTTGGCCGATTTTGTTGAAATTTCGCCATGTTGTGAACTTTGATAAGTTTACAACAATATTTATACGATAAAAACTTATCCCAATAAATATTTGGCACCGCCTTGAATTCATTTGTTTTACGTTGGCGGTGGAAACCATGCAAGCTTTTTCTTTGTCCTAAGTTGTTAATTAAAAAATAATTATCATATAAAAAAATATAGGTCCTAATAGCCTAAATTTTATCAAAATATATCAGCAGATCCGATGAGAACCGAATTATTATATGTTTTGGAACTTAATGATTTAATTAATTATTCCCTTTAATGCATCGATTGTGCGCATTATCCTACGCGCCAAGAAAAAATATTGCATTAGTCTAAATTTATTATTTATGTTAGGTATTCCGCTCTTTCACGTATAATTTGCCCCCTGCTTCTCATACGGAAAGACTTAAATTATAATAGCCCAACTGTACTTAACAACCCATGTCTTGACGCATATTCTTTTTTATAATAATATCGGCTTTCCCAGACTAAATATCCATATCCATAAAATAGTTGGCCCACACTAATAAGACCTCATTTCGGCCTTCGGACGGCCTTGCTCTATTCAGCTATCGAGTTACGTGTTGACAAGTTGATTAGGCAGGTTATTGAACTCCATGTCGCCTCTAGCATGTCGTTTTTTCAAAGATGGGTCCCATATAAACGCGGCCAGAAGTATTTTCAATACTAAAAAGTAATGTCATGTGATTGCACTTGTCCCAGAAATATTGCAGTCAGGGAAAGAGCAATCACATGTGATTGGAAAAGGGCATTCAGTTGGTCGCTCTTTCCCCAAGTAAATATTTGTTATTTATTTCTAGAGATCCAAAAAAGCTGGTCAGAAACTATAAAAAAATGTACTCGTGGGAGTGGATACTCCCAAGATGTTGACATCGCCGTTCAGCAAATTAAGAGAGGCTGTATAAGCACACGACAAGCTTCCGTTGTATACAAAATACCATACAGTACCCTAAACTGCACTGTTACGGGTAAACAACGAGCAAAGAGCAATACTGGAGAAAGGCCACCAGCTTTGCGGTTGGAAGATGAAAAGAAATTTGCGGAATACCTGGTTACGCTTGAAAAATGGGGGTTTGGTCTAAGTCGGCGAGAAGTATTCAAGTGCATTTGAAAAATTCGTTACTCTAAACGAAATTAAAACACCGTTTCGTTTAAACAGACCTGGAGAAGATTGGTTCTTAGTATTTAAACGTCAACATAACTTATCGATCAAGAAACCACAATCAGTAGAATATGCGAGAAAAAAACGACTGACATCTAAAACAAAAGTCGTCAGAAAAAGAGGAAAACCGTCCTCACGAATAACAGGTGGCAGTCGTAAGGAAAATATTACTTGGTTAGCAGCAGCAAATACTGCTGGAACAAAAGCAGCACCTTTGATCATTTTTAAAGGTTTGAATGTTTAGGTGAATTGGCTGGCGACACTGATGAATGTTACCCAGTCACAGCTTATGCTGCCAGTGTTAAAGGACATCTGAAATGTTAGCCAATTATTCGAAAAAATCTTAATACCATCTTTGGGAAGTGAACGACCTATTTTAGTACTGTACGACGGCCACGCCACTCATGTAACGTTAGCAAGCCAGCATAATATTGCAATTCTAAAACTACCTGCTCACACGAGCCATCTACTACAGCCATTAGATCTGGCTGTTTTCAAATCATTTAAAAGCAGTTGGGACGCTAATTTAGTTAGAAAGAAATATATTTTATGATAAAAATAGACAGATGTCACGGAGTTAGATAATATATAATAATCAAGACTTTCTAGAAGGGTAGTCAGAAGATTTATTTACCTCAACATCAGCAGTCATCAGCATGTACATCAACACCTTGGATTTTAATATATTTTTAAATATTACTATTGTTAATAAACAGTAATATAGTATCACGTATTAGTATTTGAGCGCTACGTAATCAATCCGCTCGGTGGCGCCACTATCACTCGGCTACCAGAAATATGGGCTATTTTCTCCCTTCTGAGAGCGCAAACCCTCAGCCAATATAAAATCTTGCAACTCCGCTTGAAAAAGTATTATATTATAGTATGCTATGAACCTTCAATTTCAGAAGACCAGTGTAGTTATTATTTATATTTGATATTAATATTTATGTGGTAGGTTCCTGCTTATTAAAGAACTAGCCCACTTTGAGTAATTTGAGAACGCAGCTTCGCTCTGGTAGAATCCATTGCCTGTCTATGCACCTAAAATATTCACGACCCGGCTTTTGGGAATTGTATTTTTTATTGACTTCCTTCGGACTGTACGCTACATTTCAAATGAGTTTAATGCTTTATGGAATTAGAGCCATTTTTGTCCGATAAAAATATGGAAAAACGGAATGTTTGCCGCCATAAAATATACGACTTGACGCCACTAAAACAGGTAAATTTATGGTTCAAAGAAGATTTGCTCCACAACTTTATTCATATATTGAACAACTTATTGCTTTCTTAGAATGTTAAGCTGCCTCTATTTTGAGAACCCAAGCATTTCTTGTACTAACATTAGATAAATCTGGTAAGGATATTTGGATTGACTCGCTAGAATTTGTCCATGTTAGAGAACTGTTGTAACCCAGCAAGGTAACGATGGTTCCTAAAAATAATAATCAATATTAATGTATATTTTGTATCTTTTGTTGTAACATTCACTTCGTATTTTACAACGGTTTTATGGGTTTCACATTCTCTCCGCTGTTAGGCTTTAGAGGTGTGCTTAATAGTTCTTTTCAATGAACTAGTTCGCGCAAACTAGTTTCAGAGATAAACACCTAGTTTATCTCGGCTAGTTCATTTAGTTCCCGCCAAAGAGAATCCCACTAAAGAATAGTTCTAATAGGTTGTTCGCGAACTACATACCTTTACGCAATTAATTTAGTCTTAAATGTTATTAAAAAGTTCGCCGCGAACTAGTTCATCTTATATCTGCATAAGGATGCCCCTCTCCAATAAGATATAACGTCAAAACTATCAACGATTTTGACTGTTGACAGAATAACAAATAACAAAACAATGTTAAACGATTTTAATTATAAAATGAACGAAGAATCGTTTTTAATTCTGTTTTAAGCTCATTATTTTCTTATTTGAAAAATTACTATGTCACAAGGAGACAGGAAAAAGTGTCTTGTATTTCACTGATTATGTATCTATAAATTAGGAGTGCAAAAGTATACTGTTTTGGTGTATTTTGGTGAATTAGTGTTTTATTTTGCTGTTGTAACACCAAAGGTTCCACCCCTCAGCTGTAATATAAATTAGGTACAAAAGTTTATCTGACAAGGTAAAGACACTTAAAATCGAATAAAAACACATGTTTTGTGTATTCGTTATTACAGGTAGAGATCTAATAATGTATGCTAGTACCGAAAGGTGTAATTGTATAAGATTTAGTTCTCGTTATTTCTAATTGAACTTTAAAACGGTGTGTTTTTATACTGAAATAGATAAATTAATCATAATGGCGTAAATAGTATCTTTGCACTTTACAATACAAGGTAGTGGCAATAAGCAATCCTTTTAGTGCCGTAACTATGGTAATATCAGAGATTAAAAAATTATACCGTGGAAAAATTTGCCGTGAACAGCCAGTTCTAAAAGGTTTTCTAAAATATACAAGAAAATTCTTGATTTTCAACATCTTTTTTTGCGAAAAAAATCTCATGTACCTTTTCCTGGAGTCAAAATATACAACCCCTGAATATTTATATTATAATTAATGATTATTATTCCCACGCACAAGTTCTCAAGCCTATGTAGGATATTTTTGAAAATATGTTTATACTTAATAATAATTGTACATATTTATAAATAAATAAATAATATGACAACAAAATTCAGGTAATGTGATCAAAAATACTAGTGAAGTTCTTACCTTCATTAAACAAATCAATTACAGAACCAAGTGATAATTCATTAAGCTGCGAATCTTTAGGCCACTCGAGGAATATCGCATAATAGTACTTTTCTTTAGTGGTATAATATACATTACTAGTTAAATTATCCTTCTGCGCTTGGGTCCAAGGGTTACTGTCGTAAATTGCCTCGCCATTCACCGAAAGCCAGCTTCCAAGATCCAATAATCTCTCTTGGAATATTAAGTTAATAGTACCATCGTGGGCCGGTCCAATATTTATTAAAATATTACCTAAAAGGCCAAAGTTAGTTCATATTTGATCACTCGGATCGCTAAATCAAAGCCAAAACGGTCAAAATAGACATACAATATGACGGATGGTCGCACTATTATATATAGGTCGTATTTTTGTTTAACTTTTAACTTAGTTATTGAGTTAAGAGTCGGTTACTTTTCAAATATTTTCTATAAAAATTAATATATACAGGGAAGCGCACCTCATTCGCCTCGGTTGATTTGGTTTGGTTTGGTTGAAACGGTAAGATATAGAAACAAAATATTTTATGGGTATATGTGGAGAAGAAATTTTGGTTTTTGGGATATTTAAAGATTTAAATGTGCATGCTACAAAAGAATTGTTTATCAATACCCTGTAAATTACTTTTCAGAATTAATTATCGTGCTGAGTATAAAGGTAAAGAAATAAACTTTACTAAAAAATATTGCTTCCTTAAATTTATACAGGGGTACCAAAAATTGCTGGTCGATTTTAAATATTTATTTTACATAAAACCTTCGTTATTTCAAATACAACACACTGTATTTTTTAAAATAAATCGAAGCAGATTCAAAATGCTCTTTCAAACAATATTAGGGTTTCCTAGCTCAGATTTTTAATAAAGCAATATAGTTGTCAAAATATGTCTCTCTAGCCCTTAAAACCTCCACTGGCCTTAAAAAGTATTTTATCCTTCATCTATGTGTTATTAGAGAATCTAGCGTTTCAACGAAACTTCGAGTGGTTTTCGATCCTTCAACTAAAACCAGAAACAATTACGCTTTAATGACATCACTCTAAAAGGATGTCAAGTTCAAACAGAATTATATGATATTCTGTGCCGTTTCAGGTTATTTAGTTACGTACTCACTGCTGGCATACAAAAAATGTATCGTCTAGTCAAAATTAATGGGTAAGTTTAAAATGTTTAAAAAACTTCGTGATCGCGGGATTATACCCACAAAAATTGGCACAAAGGTTCCTGTAAAAGACGTGAGGTAATTAGTTGGACTAAGCGAATTTTGGAAATTAGAGAATAGAGAGTAGAACGGAGATAGTAGAATTTTATACAAGGGTTTATTTAGTGACAATAATATACACAAAATATTTCTTATTCATCCCTGTATGGACATAAAATAACATATACAGAGAGTATTAGTGCTCTTAAAATTCTTATATTGACGTCCTTTATTTCATTTTAGGTGAAAAATTGGAAAATAAAAAAAAACATTCACTACACGAAACATTGGTCCTTCGAGCCGGATATGAACCATCGACCTGGAAATCAATCGGATGGTGTCGATAAAGGATAACAATCTACCTCCAACTATGTAGCGTTTGGGACGAGTTACAAGTCTCATAACTGGACGAGATGGTGTCTAGCGAGTAGTCACCATAAGGACTGCCGATGGTGTTGTGACCAGAGCAGTTGTCCGATTGTGTCCTTTACCAGTAGTTGTCAGTTAGTACTTCCAAGGCCGGGGGCATGTTGCGAGTTGCTTGGTCCGGCCTTCTTTGACTTAATTTGTATTGGAGTTTCAATAATGGTTAAAACTTCGAACCAGTTTTTTCATATACCCACTATACGAAACAAGTAAATTCTTGGACAATTCGAGGTATACGCGGACGAAGTCGCGGAAAAAAGCTAGTTTTCTTTAAAAACCCAAAACAAACCAAGTTAGAATATTTGGGCTAATTCCGAACAATTTTATGTTATCTAGATGCATGGCCCGCCTGGCGAAGAATCGATGACATCGCAGTGCGAGAGAGAAGGTCTATAAGGACGGCACTATTTGTGTCAAAACATAATATCTCCTTGCATTTCATGGTGTTTTGCACGCATTTTTGTATGGTAAATCTGCTAGTGTTGCTTCTCGTATATTTTAAAGATTTGTTTTAAAATGAGATCGTGTTCTGCAGTTAACAGAATATATTGCGCGATTAGTAAGTAGAAAAACGATTCGTAAGTAGTAAACTGTGATATGTGTGCTTCTTCACTAACCAGTAATATTTCACTAACAATTAATACTTAATAACTTTAAAGTTACTTTAAAAAAATAGGGGAGCACTTTACAAGCCTTCTAGAGATGTTGTAAAAATTTGTCTTGTTGCTGAAAGCATATACGAACACAGCAAAATTTTACAACGTCAAACTTAAAATTAATCTGTTTGGCTATAAGACAACTAAATGTAGAAACATTGTTTGCATATTTGTCAGAACATTGCTCGGAGCAAGACCCAGTAGATGATCTTCTCTTTATAGTTAATAAGGTTAATATTAAAACACTATTTTACAATAAGAATTCATCATATAAATTCAACTTCCAATGAAATAAATAATAGAATTAGACAAAAACTAACAAAAACCATAATTTTTAGTCACCAATAGTTAATTTTTTAGTTTTGTTTACAAAATGCCTCCTGTGTGTCCTTGTTTTTCCTAATGTAAAAAAAAACAATTTAAATATTTATGTTTGGAACAATTTGCCAACAATTTTTTTAAAAATATATTTTTATTTTCTTAAATGTTATTTGAAATGATAATTGGTTTATTAAAACTAATTAACTACAAACTAAAAAATGTAATCCAAACCTAAATTAATAATAATGTGTTTCTGACTTTTTTTTATATAATATAGATATTAAAGAGATAGTCTCTTCCGCACCTCACAGCGTTTATTACTGTGGGCCATTTTGTGGAGTATGTCGATGTCTAGATGGCTCTTAGACTTATTAGCTTGAGTCATGCGCTTAAAGCGCTCCTCAGAATAATTCACCGGGGATAAATGTAAAGAAATGAGCGGAGAGATGCAGTTTGGGTTTATTAAGGGACTAAGGAGGCCTTGTTTTCGCTAAAGCTTTTGGTGCAGAAATGTTACGACCAACGACATGATGTCCTTATTTATTTTATTGCCTACCAAAGAGCATTCGATAGGGTCAAGCATTATTTATTTCTGGCACGATTACCGGAAATCGGGGTAGATGAGGACATCCAAGTGAAGATAAATGGCAGTCTCGACAGAAGTCTTTGAAGTAACCGAAGGAGTACAAGGATGCATCCCTTCACCGATGCTTTTTAACCCCTTACCGCATACTGTTTCATATATGGGACACCCTAATATAATTTTAGTTTTTAAGTCCCGAACCACTCTCGAAGAACTTTATTTCAAATTGTCCCATATGTGGCACGCTTCTATGACGTCGAGCCAACAGACCCTCTCTCAGGCAAATTTTGCTTGTCTGCAAGGCCGTGATATTTGAGTTGCCTGAAAAAAGGGACAAAGTGTGTAGAGTTTATTTTTCAAGTGGTTATCACACAAAAAAAAGTTTGGATTCAATATTTTGCTGTTTGTAGCCGAAAATATGAGTTTGATTACATGTGCCATAAATGGCTGATATTATATATATTCAGCTTTCATTTTTATTGCGGTTCTACTAGTTTGGAAGGCAATCAGCCAGATTTAGGAGCAAGTAGCAATGTTGTAGTAAAACTATCGGAAACTATTCCCAAATATCAAAATTACAAATAATTTTTTTACAACTGGTTTACAAGCATTCCGCTGCTAGTTCATCTTACTAAAAATGGTATATTGCCTTTCGACACAGTGAGAACAAATCGCGTACCTGATTTTGAATTTCCCAAAGAATCGGATATGAAGAAAAATGGTAAAGGCAGTATATTGGAAAAAGTAGGTAAAATGTGGATTGCGTAGACGTCTCCGTTGTTTCATGTTATGACAATAAAATTGTTAATACTATTTCTACCTATGCTGGAAGTATGCCTATATCTAATGTACGAAGGTTTTGCCGCAAATCAAAGCGCCATATCGTGGTATCCCGCCCACAATGTATTGCAATGTATAATACCTATATGGGGGTCTGTAGTAGTAGTAGTTAGTAGTGAGTCAGTAGACAGTCGTCCGTCAGCGTCGTCAGTTGTTGCGTATCAGTCGTCTCGACAATCTCTTAGTAAATTCGCTCTCGGTAGTGTACCACGCCGGCAGTGTATGTATTATTGCAGTGATTTATCCACAAGAATAATTTTTCAGGTAAGTAAAAATTTTATATTATTACTGTTCTGTCTTCGAATAACCCCTCCATATCCCTGGACTTAGTCCGGGGACCCACCATAATGGTTCAGAGCGATTCTGAGTCAGTTATTTCCAAATCCCATCCCACACCTATGGAGTCAGTTGACTCCAATTCCCTTAACTCTGACTTGGACAGTTGCAAGACGGACGCTAGCGATCTATACTCGCAAAAGTCCAAGGATGAGTTACATGAACTCGAAAATAAGCTAGCTGAGCTTCTTTATGATGCCAAAATCTATCTCACCCAACTAGAACAACACGGTCGCAAACTAACTATAAACCCGGTAGACCTTGTAATCATTTCATCCATCCCATCCAGCCCTAAGAGGAAGGTTCTGAGGAAGAAGAGAGTTCGCCAGAGCGACTCTGATGACTCCTCGTGTTCTACAATTATCAGTAGCAAAAAAGTAGCAGCAAGGGCTGCTTCCCCTATCATAAATTCAGATTTTCCACCGCTTCGTACTCCCAATACGTCAACTTCTGACGTACCTAAAGTCCCTATTACCCCAGTAACGCAGCAACAACCCTCCAAACCTACACCTACTGCTCTCCAATGCAGCAGGATAACCCCCCTCCAGCAACTAAGAAGCCTACCCCTATTGTCCTTCGCGACACTCGTCTTTGGACTTCAATAGCCCAAAGATTTCGAGACCAAAAAATCAAAATTCAATATGCAAAATCAACATCGCTAGGCATCCGCATCATCACAGAGACCATCGCTGATCATCGAAGTATCACCAACTACTTCAGAAATCAGATTTCCTTCCACACCTTTCTTCTGCCAGAAGAAAGAGATCTGAACATTGTCATAAAGGGCATGGAAACAGATGTTGAGATCCCTACGATTGTCGACGACTTGACTTCGCAAGGTTACGAAGTCAAGGAAATTCATTGCCTTTTTAAAAATGGCAAGCCACTCCCAG